TCTACTAGTGATTCGGTCCCAGCTCTAGCCACCCAACGGCTGCCGGCATTCAAATCTTCCCGAGCCTCAGGGACGACGGACCGCGCTCCCGCGCCGCGCGCAGAGCCCCACGGACGCCAGCTGTTTGCAGCAACTGAAGTGGAACGTCACTGGCTGCTCCTGTGGGACCGCTACAGGAGGGCCAAGAAGGTGACTCTCGCCACGGTTCCAGTGGCCCGAGTCGGCGTGAAGCAGAGCGCTCCAGGCCAAGGTGGCCTTTATTTGACGTCATGGACGTGTTCCTGGCGCATCACACGTCCCAGAGGAGGCGGCAAGTTGCAAGTGCTTGGTTTTCCACTTTCAGTTGTTGTCCTTTCACCCGTGCGAAAATATGTGTACATATGATTCTTATGATTCTTACCCTATACCTATACTGAACATTTAAGATCCATGACTGTTACAAAGTGCCGGGATGTGTGTGGCCTCTTTGTGTGCAGCAGTCTACTGGACGTACCTCCATAATTATAATTATTAACGGTATTCCACTGGTACACATGTCCTTTTGCTCCTGGTCTATTGTCCATGTGATATGCACTTGACAGCGTCAAATTTAAATAAGGGCTTCCAGATTCTATGAATTTGTGTAGCTGTATTTAAAATGATTGTACAGCGACATGCCTTTTGTTTTGGGAGTTTCGGCCGTCATGCGACGATTCTACCAATTACCGTTCATAACCTAATTCATTTCTGTTAGGCAGCGGTGGATGGCATGTCCTTAGAGGAGATGCGCTCCACCATACTAGAGATGGCGCGCGCGCACCCTCCCCTCCAGTGGCACTTCCTAGGGTGCCGCCTCCACCCGTCGGCTCCTCTGTCCACATGCCCTCCCGGTCCATCCGGGTCACCGGATTGGTGTGTCAGTGGCGGCTGAGTATTAGCTTAATTTGCAAGCTAAGTAATGCGCAAGGCGTCCTCACCCACAGCCCACGACGGGGCGGCCCAATCCGCAGACCACGACCTCTCAGCTGGCGGCCGCTACGGTGCGCTCTCACCCGCCGGCTGCGACGGTACGCCCTCAGCTGCCGGTCACCACGGGGCGCCCTGAGCCGCCAGCCACAACAGAGCGTCCAAGGGAGCCAATGAATCCGACCACGCCATCGCTGCTCCGGCCGCTAGGTCGTCAACATCAACACCCAGTTGTCTTCATCGCCGAGCGTGGCCGACCGATTCTGAAGCCAATTGAGAATCACCAGAACAGTCGGTCATCGCCAAATAGGTCAGAAACTCCACGCGCTCGTAAGAGGAAGTGCCCTGAAGAATATTCCGAACGCCACAAACGACGAAAGGAGGAGCTGATGCAAACAGCTTCACACTATGGTCTCGACCTCAGCGCCACATCCTGCGCTACGGCTGCCTCAAAGGCTTCCCCAAAGGTCGTCGCCGCTCGGATACTAGACGAAAATAATATTTCCTTGAGAAAATATCAGGAAATTACTGCGGGATCGCCATCTACGAAGGGAGATGGCGATCCCTACAAGTCTCTCAAAGAGTCCATGATTCAGAAATCGACAAGCACAGCACCAGCCGACATGTTTTGCCGGTTTGCACTTCAGAAGTTAGATGTAAAAGTAAGCCTGGACAAGGACGACTACGGGCTGAAGAAGGGCGAACACAAGCTATGGGGTGAGGGAGTGTTCGCCAGCTGGCCACAGGAAAACGGTGCGTCCACAGCCACCGCTGAGCAAATCAAGGCCCTTCTGGGGGTGGTGGCACTCGCATCCCGCTGCCGGGCTCGGCCAGGGCCAGACAGGTCCGAGTATCTAAGGGTGCTATGGGAGCGTGGTATCACCCTTGTGGACCAGCAGCTGGTGGCGGAACTGGGGATTGAATAGTATTCACCTGAAGTGATCAAATCCATGGTCTCAAACTTCAATTCGGCAGTTCTGGCCCTTCTCTACATCTCAACCAGGGGGCTCCGCCCTATGACCTACCCGGAGTCGTTCCAATTTGGATGCTCGCCATCCAGGGGATTTCCAACAGTCTCCTGAGCCACTGGCTGAGGGTCGGTCAGCTCTTCGACGTTAGGCCGTCCATCGTGGCCGCCACGGTCCCCTTCCGGGAAATCCGACAGCTTTGCGCCAAGATCCTGGAAAAGAGCTACGATCTAAGCGACAAGGGACCCCAAATCACCCTCTTCCTTCCAGCTCTGGGTCGAAACTTCACCGGATTCTCCATCCGGGCCAGTCCGTTCACTGCGTCCTTGATGACGCTGATTCTCCTCTTTGCGACTGACAGTCGCACTCTTCTATACTTGTACGCAGGAGCAGGAGCCGACGTTGTGGTTGAAATGGCCCGGCGCGCCTACTTGTGGACGACAGGGATCAGGGCGGTCCAAGGCCAGTTCGCCGCAGTCACGGGGGGAAACCAAGTCATCGCCCCCACAGGTGTGAGGCGAAGGAGCAGGTCGACGAGGACCCCAAGAGTAACAAAGTAGAGTCATGTGAGCGCCAGGACTTGGTTAAGTACCTACTCTGGCTCATGACCTACTACGTGGACCTGCTCAACCATGGTGTTCAACTACCGGACGGCCGAGTCGTCAGTCAAACGACGTATCTGACAACAATCATGGAACTTCTGCAACCGGATCCAACCGCTCGTCCGTTTAAAAAAAAGAATGTATGTATGGATGTATGGATATGTATGCATATGGATCAAGCATATGGATGTATGTACCGTGAATGTAGGTACCGGGTGTCCGTTTTAAAATGGTACTCATGTGTTAGGCTCGTGATTTTTTATCGCACGAGCTATATTGTTAAAATTTCACGTGCTGATAAGACATCATGGCATGACAGAAAGTCATAAAATATCTGTCTTAGGATGCGGACGAACGTACAGATGGCTTTTGCTGCAGAGGCCCATATTGTAAAAAAAAATCCTACAACAAGGCTCGGCGACTAGCGCCTACCAAAAGCTGTGTTAGAAGGTGGGTGGAAAAGTTCAAGAAGGAAGGCAGTTCAACCAGGAGACAAACCGGTAGAAACTGCAGCGTGAGAACAGAGGAAACCATTCAGAAAGTGGCAGACTCTGTTAAACAGAGCCCAAAAAGCCGCGGCAACTGGCAACGCATGATGTCCTGGGCGAGGGTTAAGGATCTGAACTCCACAGAAAGTCCCCATCCCTGACCTGTTCATTCTCGTTTCAGCCGGGAAAGAGTGTGCATCATGTGGACAACGAGTTCGCGGAAGAGAAAGAATATGCTCATGCGGGCATGATTTGAAGGCACAACGGCAAGCTCTTCGTGTAGCACGTCAACAAGAGCAGCGGAGGAAAGGCAAGAAGCTCCGCGATGACAATCAGGACAAAGTAAGTGTTCGAGGCTATTAAGAGGAAGGTATGTAATTGGATTTAGAACAGCGGATTCTAGGAAAAAATAGGCCGTAGGGGTGGATGATGGAGGGGAAAATGTATGCATGTGTAACGAACGCATGAATCTTTTGTTTAAGGTGCACATCCTACAAGGAAGTGGTCATCACATTGCACTTCTTGGCGTACGTCTTCACCCCAGCTCGTCAAGGCAAAAGTTCCGTTTCGAGACGTTTGCTGATGAAGTTTTGGAAGACGCATTCACGGACTCCGCGATGAACAAGCGCGTGCCCAACGAATACCAGGAGGCGCTGATGCGGACGTTCGCTCGGAGTAAGTTTCCTGGACGATTATAAAGTTATTGTGTGTAATTCAACCTGTTGCCTGCATTATAGTGAGTTCTGCTATTTATTTTCGCCACAAATAACAATCGGTTGTGGATGTGTCACTGTCTACGTTTTTTTTTTTTTTGTTGCTTACAGTCAATCCTAAGAATGCGAAAGGTTAAACCTAAAGAATATAATGCAGTTGAGTGCATGTGTTAAACACTCTCCGCCCGACATCGTGGGATGTACTGACGGGAGGGGACCCACATCCGCCTAAACCGTCCCCAGGGAGCAGCGATAAGCATACCTAAATAAACCGTAAAGGCTTCCCGTCCCTGAACGTAATGGCCGTCGCTGCATCTGACCGTCCAATCATCACGTTGAACGCACATTGTGGCAGTCGGGTGCACGACGCTCGAGTACTGGCTAAATCGGGGCTGCCCGAGTATTTCCGCAATGGAAATCCCGTAATGGGCGGCATGATGCTGGGGGACAGTGACTACGGCCTTGCACCCTGGCTCATGACGCCCACCGCGGACCCCACCACTGCCGAGGAGCGCGCATATAATACCGCTCACGCGCGCACTCGTGTGGTGGTGGAAAACGCTTTCGGTGTACTAAAAATGCGTTTTGGTGCTCTTCAACATGGCCTGCGTTTGAACTCTATGTCCTTTAGCATGACGGACATTGACGTTTGTTTTTTGCTGCAAACATATGCATAAATGGCGGGGTCGTGGGCGAGTGGCTTGGAGCACTGTGCCCGGCCGACGCGATGATGCAGGAGCCAGCGGACGAAGCTGCAGAGCTCACGGCGGCAGTCCGAGCCGCCGGCTGTCCCAACGTCTGTGCTTAAAAAGGTAACTTTGTGGCTTGGGCGTGTGTTCTTTTGAAATGTACTTGTTAGAGGTGATACGTGGTGTTGGAGACGACGTGTGTCGTATGTCGTGAGGACATTCAATGCCATTCATGTAGACGCTCTCGTGGACTGCCAATATACGGATAAAGAAATCAAACGGACACACTAGCCGGGTACACAACGACACAAATCGGAGCGGGCCAGCGAGGCGTAGTAGTGGGCTAACATGCGGTTCACACCACACTCCACATGCCTACCCAACGTCTCACTACACACGCCTGCGATAAATGGTTACCAGTAATTAAATGCCCTACTTCGATTTTTATGACGAATAAAAAGTCATTCAATCCAAAAAAACCTATAATACTCACTTACAAACAATATTTCCTCAGCAGCTATGCGCCGATGTGAGCCTGCCTTTACCTGGCATCGGAGTGGGCCAGCTAAGCCACCTGCCGCGGAGATGGCCAGGCTGGCCCGCTGCGAATTTCCACGGAGAAAAAAATATGCAGATGTCATGCTGATTTACTGACTCAGCACCTTTTCACTGAATTTGTCACCTACGGTGGGCTACCGGCCTCGAAATGAGAACCTGGGCGCATGCGCGTATATCGCATCTAGGACAATTTTATTGTCAAGAGGAGGGAGATAGGTAATTATGGAACGTTTCTAAAGCTGTTTTTGTATTTTGACGGTCTGTGGCTAAGGTAGATGTTATGAATTTATGTTTTTAATGAATGTGCTGGTTCGTTTGCTTGCTGGCTGCTCTTACTTACCTACTTTCTTGCTCTTTCGTTTTGATTTTTTCCCTGCTAAATTTCTACCTGATAAGGCATTTATAAATATGCAATATATTTATACTTGTCTCTAATTTCCATGTAATGCCAGTGCATGGAAATACTGGGTGCTTATATGCATTCAATAATATTGCTGCAGTTCTGTATTACCTATTGAATGAAATGAAATATGCCGTTTATTCAATTAAAAATACATATAGGTATTTGTGTGCAGGCTGTGGCGGTAGTGGTAAAGCTGGCGTCTCTGTCGACGCTAGCCGGCGAATGTGTCAATTTAATTTATATTTTATACTGGGTATAATAAAACATAATCTAACCTGACCTAACCTTACCTACAAACTTACAACCTACCAACCTACATACCTACACCTTACCTACCTACCTGCCTTCCTATTGCTGACCGTGATGCCAGCGTAACCGATACCGCTGTGTCCAGCATCTTGCTCTGAAATCTGATTTAGATTAAGGAAACTGCATATCAATATAGGAAAATGATAAAGAAGAACTTTTGTAGACTGATTATGCTGTTCTTGTTCCATCTTTCTGAACTCGCCTGTGGTTTGTGGACTCTTAAAACGCAGTAGATGCGTCAGTGTATTTCCCTTTGTTGGACATCTGTTGCAGGTTAGTTTCTGGCTTGAAAAAGTATTAAATTGTGTGTTGTCTGTATTTATATTAATATGCATCAACAAGTATTTTTGTCTTCTTCTATTCCAGGCTGGAGAGTGGTGAAGAATAATCTTTCAACAGAAATGTCTGCAAGATTGTTCAAAACATTGTTTTCTTTTTTTTATTTAAGACTCTTCAATTGACATAATTACAGGAAATAGCATGTTCATTAAATGCATCAAGCCATGAGTTTGGGAAGTGAACTACTATAGAGTGATCAGTGAATGGATATGTTGGACTTTGTGCATAGTTGTACTTGTGCGAAGTGGTGAAGTAACTTGGCTTGAATTTAGATTCATCCCTGCTCTCCTAATTTCTAAATAAAGTTCTTAAATTTTCTTCCCGATTGTACTGTGTTCACGTTGCAAGGATGGATTGCGAGTTGGTTGGATTAGTGGAAACATTTGCCTACAAAGTGTTGCATGTTGTTAAAGGGACAGTATCATCGAAAAAAAAATCCATGTATGGAGCTGATTTTTTTTTTTACTAGCATTTCTTATTTTTCTGAATCAGAAAAACATAGTTTGAGGACCGAACTCGGTGAAAAATATTGCAACCACATTTCATTTTCATGATTCATTTTCATGAGCGAACCACCACTATACAAGCATGGCCGCCAGTTTGGAAGCATGCAAAATTACTACAGAACTGGCGCAGATAATACATTATTGACGCTACGCTTACGCGGTCGTTCTTCTGATTGAGTTGTCCTTAGGGAGAGGTAGCCTTAGGTATTGCCTATAAAAATATAACGTGACAATTGGAGGGAGTGACAATTGGACGTGACAATTGACAATGGGAGAAAATATCACGTGACAATCACGTGATAAACGTCATACATTGGAGGGAGATTGTGATTCAAGCTGGAGGAATTCCTTTGTTGAGCCGCTAGAATCCGAAGGAAACAGGGGAAATTGCCTACGACTATTTAATGAATTTAACGGTGATGAATAAGTGCGAAAAACGTTTTGGCTTTATAAAATTTGATGAAATGACCAGGGTAAAAGTTTTATTACTGGCGGTCAATTCAAAACGGCGCAAACATTTAAACAGTGAAGATAGTGAAGAACGATTCAAAGTGTGGTACACCTTTCGTACTTTGAGCGGCGATAGCGGGATAACGGTGTGGAGCTTCGAGGATCGGTCTTCAGTTCCCGGACCAGAAAGGTGGGGCCTATGCAATGTCAAATTTCATCAAAATGGTGATACTGTCCCTTTAAGCACTGCTGGCAATGCTTATGGTATGTGCTGTGTTGGACTTTGTGCATAGTTGTGCGAAGTGTTGAAGCAACTTTGCTTAAATTCAGATTCATCCCTAGTCTGCTAATTTTTCAAAAGGTTTAAGTTTCTTCAATTTTCTTCCTGTTTGTACTGTGTTCATGTTCCAAGGATGGGTTGTGAGCTGGTTGGATTAGTGGAAACATTTGCCTGCAGAGTGTTGCATGTTGTTTAGCACTAGTATTATTTGCTAGCAGTGCCTATGGTTAATTGTTGCTTGTGCAATTTCAGAAAAAATATATAGAACTTGATTAATTATATCTACATGTTTGGTGCATGTGTACATGTAAGGTGAGAACCAAGATGGAAAGGTCAGGACCCAACAGCTTACTTTTTAAGATATTCAATTAGAGCACATGGCAGTTGGAGTCACTCAGCTGAAAAGGTTTCATGAAAATCATTTGGACATGTATGCTTTCAAACCAAACTGGGGCCAGCAAAGAGCACCAGCCGACTGGCCAGGGTCAAGATCTAGCTGAGGTTGGGGGAGCAGCAACAAACTTCGCTGCTCAGATCAGGTGGTAGGTACTCTTCAATTCATTCCACGTGTTACACTGCTTAGAAATGGGGTATATTCAGAGGATAATTCTGCATTCTCCTTCATCCACCAGTAGCCAAAGGCCCGCAGTAGTCCAGGGACCTCAGTTTTCGACCCATGTTTGAGGTCCCAGCACAGCCATACGGACCCCAGTCCCTAGAAGTCACAGCCAAGCATGCTGAACGAAGATTAGAGATGCAGGTTGCCGTGTGTTAATGGTGCATTGTGAGTTTCCGTGTATAACGGGAGATTTGACGTTGTCGTGGCTTATACGACGTTCATTTATTAGTAGAATTAATGAATTGTTCGCATCTGAACGCCAAAATTTGGCCTTATAGGTATTACAGATGGCAAAACAGTTACCTCGTTATGCATCTCTAATAGGAAAGTTGCCTGATTTGGTGCATTTAGTCTGAAGTTAGTTTTTCAAATAGTAGGAAATACATGCTAATGTTTTCGCTTTTTTCCTTATGATTTATCAAGTAAAAATGATATTTTAGAATATGATTTCATCTGCAAACACTCGTTTGCACAATATTGATGCGTTTTTTGTTTGCATTTCACTTTTATTTTGAATCATATAGGAGGAACTGAAGACAACTAAGTTTAGACTAGAATTCTGCCTACTGAAACGGGCCTCGCTGGCCCTCTAGAGGGCTTAGCTGGCCCGGTCAGGTTTATGCCGTTGTGAACCCGGCTACTGTTGTATAAAGAGGCGCCTATGTGGACATAGAACGTACGGATCCCGCCAGAATGCAACGCAACTATAATAGCCGTTTCAATTTCACAGAAGGATCATCTGAAGGGCTGGTGTGCCCTTCTGTGAGTGAGCTGGTGGGCACCAGCTCCCTTACTACAAACGTACGGTTTGAGATGCGACAGTGTGTCTGCGGTGAGGTCAGCAGTCAGCTGGCACTGAGAGAAAAACGGACATCGGCAACACCCCTGTTCACAGTCATTGGCAGTACATCTTTTATTCAAACATTGAATTTTCTTTCAGCCAAGTAAAGAACGGTATCAATATCCTTCGACATCAAAACATTTTCAATTCTATTCTTCCTTATACTGTTATTTGTTGTACTTGTTTTGTTGTTAAATTATATAATACAATGCAGTTGAGTGCATGTGTAAAACGCTCTCCACCCCACATCATGGGATGTATTGACGGGACCCAAATCCGCTTAACCGTCCCCAAGGAGCAGCAATAGGCATACATAGACCGTAAAGGCTTCACGTCCCTGAACGTAATGCCCGTCGCTGCATCCGACCGTTCAATCATCACGTTGAACGTACCTACATTGTGGCGGTCGGGTGCACGACGCTCGAGTGCTCGCTAGGACTAATTACACTCGATTCGCTCGCTCCGTAATCAAAATTAGTTTACGGATTAACGTTATCAACAAGCACATATTCATCGGCGCATTAAAACATCATGTAACCATTGATAATCGTAAAAGAAAAATACTTATACCTGACACGAGATAACGCAATACACCACTAGACATAAATGTTTCGTTTTCCTTCCAGGCTCCCAAGACGGGACGCCGCCTATGGTCGGTGCCTGAGCTGGCGTTGGCCAGGCGCTTCGCGGCCGACCGTTCGAACGGGTGGTCCGACGTTGAGGACTTTGTAAAGCAAAACCTCCCAAGCCGCACTGTCGGAGCGACCTGGATCAAGACCAAGGAGCTTCGCAGCTCCCACTGAGGAGTCACGATGTAAATGTTCTTTAACGTTGGGTTGTTTAAGCATGACCATGGAACGCCACTGGAAGTCTAGAACAGGCTGTCTTCACAATCTGCTCTCGATTTTGAGTTGGATCCAATGCTCTTTCCTTTTTTAGGTCCTTCCGCTGATTGTAAACACCCCGTGGCCCGTTGTCATCTTATGTTTGTTCTTAAGCTTTTAGTTACACAGTGAATATTCTGTGACAAACATCTGTGTTTCAGGGAACCGAAGATACCAGACAAACTTACTTGAGTTGTGAGAAGTGCGTCGCGCGGGTACTACACCTGCAGCTCCATCTGAAGAGGAGTCACAAGCGCCGCCAGAAAGGCGATGAAGGATACTGCCTTCGCTCACGAGCTGGTAAGTACGGGTCGACTTTCACTACGTTGTTGATTAGTCACAATTATTCGTAATATTTTCTCCTTTCAACAGCATTCCTTGGAAAGGGCTCAAAAATTGAATTTCCTGGAGGGAAGGTAAGTTTGTACCCCGGCTATTTCAGCCCCCTAGAAGGGCTTGGAAAAGGAACTTCGTGGTTGGATGACGGGGGAGCTACGTGTTGCCGTTTATTATGTATTCGCAACGTTTTTACGTGTTTTTTTTTTATCAATAACTCTTGACCAAATCACGATAGAGTTGCGAGAGGCACCAATGAGCTCACAGTGAGTTCCCGAATCAAACAATATGCATTATGACCACGCAAAAGTATTTCAGTGTCCTGACCGACATCGGCGCTGCCCGAGTATTTTCGCGAAGGAAATCCCATAATGGGCGGCATGATGCTGGGTGACGGTAACTACGGCCTTGCAACTTGGCTCATGACACCCTTAAGTGCGTGTGTTGTTTTGAGATGCATTCGTTAGAGGTCATGCGTGGTGTTCGAAACCAATTATGTCGTACGACGTGAGAACATTCCACGCCACGGGTGCCACCCGAAACTACGGACGTTGACGTGCTCGTTCATACATTATTTCACCGTTTCAAACTTGCCAAATAGCAACGCAAACAGGTGACCGTAACACGAAGTTTCAGGCCTGGTCTGCAAAGAAGACGTAGTCGCGCTCGAAGACTGCCAATATACGGATAAATAAATCAAATGCACACTGCTGTATAAAGAGGCGCCTATGTGGACATAGAACACACGGATCCCGCCAGAATGCAACGCAACTATAATAGGCGTTTCAATTTCACAGAAGGATCATCTGAAGGGCTGGTGTGCCCTTCTGTGAGCTGGTGGCCACCAGCACCCTGACTAGAAACATACGGTTTGAGATGAGACAGTGCGTCTGCGGTGAGGTCAGCAGTCAGCTGGCACTGAGAGGAAAACGGACATCGGCAACACCCCTGTTCACAGTCATTGGCAGTACATCTTTTATTCAAACATTGAATTTTCTTTCAGCCAAGTAAAGAACGGTATCAATATCCTTCGACATCAAAACATTTTCAATTCTTTTCTTCCTTATACTGTTATTTGTTGTACTTGTTTTGTTGTTAAATTATATAATACAATGCAGTTGAGTGCATGTGTAAAACGCTCTCCACCCCACATCATGGGATGTATTGACGGGACCCAAATCCGCTTAACCGTCCCCAAGGAGCAGCAATAGGCATACATAGACCGTAAAGGCTTCACGTCCCTGAACGTAATGCCCATCGCTGCATCCGACCGTTCAATCATCACGTTGAACGTACATTGTGGCGGTCGGGTGCACGACGCTCGGGTGCTCGCTATGACTAATTACACTCGATTCGCTCGCTCCGTAATCAAAATTAGTTTACGGATTAACGTTATCAACAAGCACATATTCATCGGCGCATTAAAACATCATGTAACCATTGATAATCGTAAAAGAAAAATACTTATACCTGACACGAGATAACGCAATACACCACTACACCTTTTTAGCCGCGATTTAAAACAGTTGAACTCCATTTTAAAAAAGCTGATCTGTGATTTAAAACTGTTGAACTTGGGTTTAAAACACATGACTTCCGTTTTAAAAGAATTGAATACGATTTTAAAACAACTGACGACGATTTTAAAACAGTTGAATTTATTTTTAAAAGAACTGAACTGCATTTTAAAAAGCATGATAGGGCCGGTAACACTCCAGCTACACTAATAATGATAATAGCTATTAATATAACTAATAATAAACTATAACTAACACAATGCATTTTGTTGTCATGCAACCTTATCTAATACCTTGCCTTTTCTGTTGAAAGTGTAACTAATTTTTGTTTGCCGATGTGTTCTGATTATTGCTTTTTGCAACGTTTTTAAAGATAAAAAATCCCACTGCATTTATTGCAAGGCTATTCAGATAACATTGTCCGAGTGGTTTCACTGCTTAACAGTCGTTAGCTAACATAGAAATTATTCGAAACTATGTACACATGTAACTTTGCATAGAAAATCGTCATGCTTTTGTGACGCATCTATCTTTACATATCTTCGGGCATTCTACATGCAGCCGGTACACATATAGCTTATGCACCCAGCATAGCTTATGCAGCCGCCTGAGCTATTTCTTCTCTTACAGCAGTGACAGTTTTTTCATCATCGGTGACTAATCAAGTCACCGATACTGGGTGATGACATTGTCTAAAGTAGATACTTTCCTTGAAGTAAATGCGAATATAATATGCCTTTTATAAAGTGAATGCAATACCTACTATGTAGAATCTATGTATATGTACAGTCGCTCGAACGTTGAGCCCAGTGACAAGTGACCCAAGTGACCTATACATGGCCTGGTGCCCTGGGGAGTGGCAGTCTTGCATATATACCGAACAGAAAAAGTGGAAAAATGGAAAGTCACGAGAACAACATTTTACATTTTGTATTTACTCGAACTCTTCCGGTTTGAAGAAGCAGTGCTTCATTCAATTCTAGCAGACGACGCAAAACGGGGGAGCAAATAGCTATTATCATTATTAGTGTAGCTGGAGTGTTACCGACCCTATCATGCTTTTTAAAATGCAGTTCAGTTCTTT